GTGGTGTTCAAGTCGGCGCCGATCCTGAAGCGGGCTCTGAAGGTGAAGCAGGCCATGATGCAGCTCTACGTGCTGAAGCTGCTCAAGGTGCAGACCAAGTACCTGGGCCGGCAGTGGAGGAAGAGCAACATGAAAACCATGTCAGCCATCTACCAGAAAGTGCGGCACCGCCTCAACGACGACTGGGCCTACGGCAACGGTACCTCCTGGCATCCCTGGCATTCCTGGCATCCCTGGCATCCCTGGCATCCCTGGCATTCCCAGCCCTCCTGCTCCAGGGTCTGTGCCCCGAGCTCCAGCTCCCCTTTTGCTGCCTGGGGTTTGGGCAGGTGTGCTGGGTTGACCTTGGTGGACCTTGGCTGGTTGAGCTTGACCAGGTGCCCACTGAGCTGCTCTATCCTTTCCCAGCTGGACAGGGCAGAGAAAATCAGGTGGGGAATGACTTGTAGGTTGAAATAAGGTAGGTTAGCACAGCAAGAGCAGAAAAAAAAGAGGTTTGTTCTCTACTTCCCATCAGCAAGTGATGTGTAACCCCTTTGGGGGAGCCAGGCTGCAGCACATGGAGTGGCTGGTCTGGAAGGCACATGTTTTAAAGTACAAATGCCCCATCATTCCTCTTCCTTTTCTTAGCTTTTATATCTGATCTGACATCACAGAATCTGGAATATCCCCTTGGCTAATTTGGCTCAGCTGGCCCGTGTCCCCTCCCAGGATCTTGTCCACTTGCATGCACTTGATGGGGTGGCAACGTTGGGAGACAGTGCTGGTGCTGTGCCAGCTCTGCCCAGCAGAGCCAGGATACTGGTGGGTTCCCAAAACCTTCCCACCTCCCACTGCAGAGTCACTGGCAGGGCTCCCATGGAAAAACAAATTCCATCTGAGCCAGACACAACCCAGCAGGTCTGGGGTGTGGGAGGGATTTTGGGGGGTGGCATTGCAGGGATCAGGGCTCTGCCAGGGGTGTCAAGTCTTGGCTGAAAACCCTTTCTGGCCTAAATTGGGCTGGAACAGCAGGTTTGGTGCCTCCCCGAGGGGGTCCAGGTGCCCCACTGGGGTGTCTCCTGCCCACCATCAGGATGTGGGAGCTGGGACAGGCTGGCAGTGCAGTTTTGGGGGTTTTGTTTTGTCCTGGGAATGTCCTTTGGGGTGTACCAGCAAAGGGAGCCCCCATTTCTGGCTTCAGTTTGGTTGTTTCCCTGTGGTGGGGATGCTGGAAGTGGTGGTGGAGCTGTTGGTGGCTCTGCACTTTGTTGGAAGTACCCACAAAGACCTTTCCCAAGTGGGAGGGGGCTGGGCGTGTATGGGTTGTTGGGAAGAGACAGAACCAAATGATATTCCTGGGATATAGGAAGGAATATATTCCAAAGGATATTCCATCATGCTCAGAATATAAAGTGGGGGGGGAAAGGAGGAATTGGGGGATGTTCTCCTGAAGGTGCTGAGCACCTGCCTGCTTGTGGGAAGTAGGGAATTAATTCCTTGTTTTTCTTTCCTTGTGCTGCACAGCTTTTGCTTTCTTTATTAAGCAGTCTTTATCCTAACCCACCAGTTTTCCAGCTTTTTTACCCTCCTGATTCTTCCCTGCTCCGCTGGTGGGGGAGTGAGCGAGCGGCTGCATGGGGCTCGGTCTGGCTGGGGTTAAACCAGCACCCCGAGGGCTTTGGGCTGGCTGAGGGGTGCCCAGCTCTGCTCTGACCAGTCTCATCCCCGTTGCCAGACCTGGACGCCCGTCCCTGGGATTTCCAGGCCGAGGAGTGTGCCCTGCGTGCCAGCATCGAGCGCTTCAACGCGCGGCGCTACGACCGCGCCCACGGCAACCCCGACTTCGTGCCGGTGGATAACTGCCTGCAGAGCGTGCTGGGCCAGCGCGTGGACCTGCCCGAGGAGTTCCAGCTCAACTACGACCTGTGGCTGGAGAGGGAGGTCTTCTCCCGGCCCATCTCCTGGGAGGAGCTGCTGCAGTGATGGACACAGGAGGCAGGATGGGCTGCGGGGAGAGCTCGGGGCTGGCTGCTGGCAGGGCAGGGCAGCGAGGTCCAGGGGGTCTGGGGGTGGCTGCGCTGGTGTGGTGGGCTTGGGAAGAGGATGGAGCTGGGGGATCCTTGCTGAGACCAGGTCCTGCCCCTCTGCCTCCTTCCAGGCTCATCCCAAAGCTGAGGGTGCCCTGAGGGTTTCCTGTTGGGTGGGGGATCTCTGCCCACCCCTGTGATGCTTTCAGAGGCACCACCCTTGTCGTGCCCCCCAGGCAAGAAGGGGGAGCAGGTGGCAGTGTGGGAGTGGGGTCCTTGGGTGGGACACCAGGCTGGTCCTGCCCAGCCCCTCTGGGGGGTTAGGGGGCCTGTGGGGGCTTGAGGGGCTGGGGTGGCCTCCCCTCACCCCACAAGGGGTGCAGGAGCTGTACATACATTATATATATTTGGTGATACCTCTGCCCTGAGCGTGGCTGGGTTCATGTCCCTGTCCCTCCTGCCTGGAGTTGGGCTTGGATGAGAGTTCCTCATCCTTGTCCCCACTCATCCCTCAAACCCCAGGGGGTATATGGCCCCTCACCAGCAGGTTTAGTCTTTCCTTGCACCCAGGTTTGTGGGTTGGGGGGAGCAGGTTCTAGCAGGCATTTCCCTGTCCCATTCACTGAACCCTCCCCCAGCTCTGTCCTGGGATTTCTGACACCACTGTGGTGTTACCACTGGGATTTTCTTTGGTCCCTGCTTCCAGCAGAGGATCCAGACACCAAATCCTGCCAGAGCTCAGCCTTGCACATTGCCTGGCCTCAGTTTCCCTGGCAGAGGGGCAGCAGCAGCTCTGGGAACTGAAACCCTGGGGGATTCACCCTGATTTGAGGCAGGGATTTGCAGAGATGGTTGTGGGCAGAGGGAGCCTGGGGCAGCAGCAGTTCCACCCCATCACCTGCTGGGATTCTGAGCCTGTGGAGCTCCAGGAGTGAATCCAGCTGTGGGGCTGCTCAGCCCCAGCCTGGAAGCAGCAAACTCAGCCTTATGAGCCATCAGAGCAGTTCTGTGGACGCAGCATGGGTGGGAACATGCCCTTAATCCGTGCCTGGAGCTGTGCCCATCCTGCCCGCTCCCCCCTCAGCCAGGGGTGACGTGGAGCTGGAGGCCTGGACCCATCTGGGTGCCCAGTGCTGCACCCTGACCCCGTGGGCAGCACAGGGACAGGGGCTGGGTGCCTCCAGGAGAGGCACAGAGAAAGAAACGCTGACCTGGCTTGGTTTAATGACGAGTAAAACTCTACCAGAAATCCCTGCTCAGCCTGAACCTGCTCAGGACACTGCAAAGCTCCCTCAGCTCCATCAACATCACTTTGCACCCCAGTAAACCCCTGAACATGGTTTAGAGGGAAACACCGTGGTGCTGCTGGGCTGGGATGGTCCCAGAGGGCTTTTCCAGCCCCAAGGACGGCAGCACTCTGATCGGGGCTGGGATATTCAGCAGCCCAAACCTCATCCCTTATCCCGTGTTTCAAGGGAGCAAATCAGGTCCTGGCAAATCCAGCTCTCCGTGGGAGACAAATGAATTTTATCCTGCCTAGGACAGAGGTTTTAAATGAGGATTTCTGGGGCACTTTGGATTTTCTTACTGCCCTCCTCAACCACAGAGCGCTGCTGGATGTGCCCCCAGGCCCCTGGCAGGGGGGTGCCTCCAGCACCATCCTGCCCCCAAACACCATTCCCAGCACCAGACCAGGCCTGAGGAGCCTGGTGGGAGTCTCCATCCCACCCCCCTGGCTTTATAGGGCTGCTGGAGCCATAATGAATGTATGGAAAATGTGGTTTATTGTTTAGAAATGAATAACAAAATCCCCACCGGTGGGAGGGGTGTGAGATGTCCTGGGTGAGGGTGGGCAGCCGTGGGCTGCCTCCTGTGGCACCCAGGCTGTGCCCAGGGTGCCAGGGCTGGGCTGAAAACTTTGGGATTTCCCAGACTGGGCTGGAAGGGCAGGTTTAGTGCCTCTCCGAGGGGATCCAGGTGCCCCACAGGGGTGTCCCCCCATCAGGATGTGGGGCTGGGGCAGGGGGGCATTGCGGATTTTGCAGGGAGGGGGTTTGGCCTGAGAGAGTCCCTGGGGCTGGGCTGGCATCTCCCGGTGCTGGGGTGAGCAGGGTCGTTCCTGGCTTCGTATTTTGGCATTTCTCTGCAGTGGGGGAGGTCACAGTGGGTGAAGGGGGGACAGGACACACCAGCTCTTAGGGGGACTCAGGGAACCCCCCCTGGGGACCTCCAGGCCACGTTGGATAGATGAGGTGCCCCATCCCCCAAGCCTGGCCTTGCAGGTACCACCAGTAACATGCAGACCCCTGCAAAATGCAGAAACCCCCCACCCAAATCACCCATTTGTGCCCCAACACCCCAGCTGGGAGGGTTCCCACTGCTGGGATTAAAACTCCTCCCTGAGGGGTAACAGGGTGACCCCCCAGGGAAACAACCTTTAATTTGGGATGCTTTGTTGTGCCAGGGTTTGTGTCTCCAGGAGGAGCTGTGATGCTTTGGGGTTCCTTCCCAGTAACCCCCAGTACCAGCAGCTGTCCCAGTCCAGTCTTCCAGTGTGGGACTGGGAGAGGAAGAGCCCAATTTCTGCCATTGCTGGGTGTGCTGGGCAGGGGATGAGCAGCCAAATTTCAGGTGGGGAGGGGAGAATTGCCCCCAAACCTCTGCTGCCCCGGTGCTCCGCAGTCCCTCCTCAGCCCCGCCCGGGCTGGCAGTGCCCGGGGGTCTCCATCAGAACCAGCCCGGAGGTGCTGGGAGGGCTCCGGTCACCAGGACAGCCCTGCCCGGCTCCGAGCTGCCCGTGCCAGCCCTGCCAGGGCAGCCCGGCTTTGGGGGCGCCCCTTCTTCCTCCCCACAGCCCCCCCGGGCCCCTCTCAGCCACATCGCGGTGGGCGCAGACAGCTCGGGGGGTGCAGAGAGGGGACCCCAGCACCCTGCCCCATCCTGCTGCCGGGGTGGGGGACACGGGTGGCTCCGTGGCCGTCCCACGGGGGATCATGTGGCCCAATTCAGGAGGCTCCCGGCCCCCTCTTTGCTCTTCATCCTCAGCGGCATCAGGGTGGGCGCCTTGTACTCGTGCTGGGCGGGGGGCTGGAAGGGGTGGGGGGCCAGGCCCGGGGGGCGCAGCCCGTGCAGGGGGTAGAGGCTGCCCATACCCGCGTGGGGGCCCGGGGAAGTGGGGATACCCACGAAGCCGTTGCTGGCAGCGGGGGGGTACGGGGACATGCAGGGGGACGCGATGCTCTCGGGGGGCAGCAGCCCCGGGGGGCTCCCAGGGCTCGGCCACGGGTTGTTCTGCAGCTGAAATAAGGACAACAACAACAAAAAAAGCCCAAAATGAGGGTGGGGACATCACGGCCCGCTCAGTGTCCTCCCATTCTGCCTTAGATCCCTTCAGGGTTCCTTTTATCCCACCTGTGATCCTTCTCGCCCCCGATCCCCACCACCCATGGGTGCAAAGGGAGCGATGCCTTTGCTCTGGTTTCTGGCCTTGGGGGATTCAGTCGAGGTTGAAATATTCCCCCCAGGAGAGTTTGGCTTCAGGGACGTGCGTGAAGCTGAGTTTTAAATTCTTTTTATGCTTTTCGATACTGGGAGGGGGAAAAGGCAGTTTTGGGGCAGGAAGCACAGATGGATGGGAGAGAGCTAAAGGGGTTTCAGGAGGAACACCCCAAAACCTGTCCCGGAGGGCGTGTTCCCATGGGAAATGGAGTGGGACATAAGGCAGCATCTTCCTGCGTGTGGCAAATGCCATCCTCCCTCTTTGCCATCCCGGGCAGCGCTTTTCCCAAGGGTGGGTGAAGCCGTGGGGGAAGGGGCAGGAAGGGGTGATGTGGGGCACCCCCCTGGCAGCGGGGGCACACAGGGCTGCAGCAGCTCCTGTGCCATCTCTCACCTCCTGGATTTTCCCGTACCGCTCCCGTTTCCGCCACTTGGCCCGGCGGTTCTGGAACCAAACCTGGCGGGTGGAGGAGGGGGCTGAGGTGCGGGGACCCCTCCCCTGCCCACCGCAGCCTCCTGCCGAGGTCCGCTCATGCCAGCAGCAGAAGGGGCCGGGCACGGTGCCCCGGCAGTGCCCAGAGCCGGAGCCGGGCACAGGGAGCTGCTCTGTGCTCAGCCGGAGCTCTCTGCCCTTTCCCCACACTGGGAATATCTTGTCCCGCACCAAAGATGAACCGTCCCGCTCCCCTTTCCTCTCCCTGGGACTTGTTTATCCCAGATTTTGCTGCAGAATGAGGTTTTTTGGCTGCAGATGTCCCCTCTGCGTGTCCCCTCCGTGGGGTGGGGACAACTCCAGCAGCACCTCCCGGTGCTTGGCTTGAAGCTCTCGTGGCTACAGGTGGTTTCATCTCAATCCACCCCAAATCTGGGTTCAGCCCCGGTGGGCTCCTGGGGACACTTCCCTGCCTGTGCCTTGTCCCCGCTCCTGCTCCTGGGGATGGCAGCTCCCAGAGGGTGCTCCCTGCTCCCTTCCTCACCCTCCACCCTTCATGTCCTCCCTGCTGGGAGCACCCTCAGGCTCCTCTTCCCGCTGGAGACCCCTCTGGCAGCAGCTCCTGCAGGCGGGATGCGGAGAGCCGGGGAGGGAGGGTCGGGGTCGGTCTGGTCCTGCCCCACATCGTGCCAGCCCGTGCCAGCCCAGCCCCAGCACGCAGAGCTCCGGGGGTTCCTCCAGGCCTGAGCTGGGAAGGGTGGCTGGCAATGATGGGTGCATGGGGGGCATCATGATTAGGGTATTCTGGGGGGGGGTGGGGGGGTGGTTGGCACTGACCTCCCAAATTTTGGCTCTTTCCACCCTTTGGGTGCTTGTTCGGGGGGGAATGCAGAAGCAACCAACACCCACAGCACAGCAGAGGGTGCACAGGGTGCATGACCTGAATTTTCCATCTGGGATTTAGCATTTTCATGGGAAAAGCAGCTTCTATCTCAGCATCACCTTGCAGACAGAGGAACCCCCTGCTCCTGGCAGCCCCTGGGGTGCCCATGCCCATCCCTCTGTACCATACCTGCACCCTGGCCTCGGTCAGGTCCGTGCGCAGTGCCAGCTGCTCCCGGGCGTAGACATCAGGATAATGTGTCTTCTGGAAAACCTTCTCCAGCTCCTCCAGCTGGAACGTGCTGAAGGTCGTCCTGTTCCTCCTCTTCTTGCTCTTGCTCTTGCCCAGGGGCTCGGGGAGCTCGGGGATCCCGTAGTCCCGGAGACTGCCCAGGGGTGCTGCCAGCGGGCACCCCAAGTCCTCCGGGGCTTTTGGGGGGACCCTGCAGGCCGCAGGAATCGCCTGGAACCCACCTTTGCAGCCCTTCTCACCTGGGGGGAGAGGCACAGGACCAGGGGGTGTTAATTTAACAGTGCCAAGGAGGCCCAGAGCTGTCTGTGCCACAGCCCTGGCATCGCATCGCATCGCATCGCATCCCATCCCATCCCGTCCCAATCCCTCATCCTGGGGGATGTTGAACTACTGCCCCAGGAGCAAGGGCTCAGCATGGACACCCAGCAGGGCAAATCCATCCCCGAGAAGGGCAAAATCCACGCTCCCTGTGGGAGCTGTGGGCAGGAAAAGCCTCTGGAGGGTGGGGAAGGCTGGCTGGAGCAGCGGGTGCTCAGGGTCCCGCTGGGATGTGGGACTGTGTGGGGATGGGGCAGAGGAGGTGGGCACAGGGGTGTTTTGCAGACAGGTTTGCCCCACTCTCCTCATCCCTCTCCTCCCACACGGGCTGGTGCCTCAGCCCGGCTCAGAGCCCAGAGCAGACCCACATGGCCCAGCAGTGACCCCAAACCCAGCCCTGCTCTGGGCCCTGTCCAGCCCCCGTCCCCCAGACAGTTCAGGGCAGCTCTGCGCCCCTGAGCCAGCACCTCCCTGGAGCTGCAGCTCCCGGGAAAACTCTTGGAAAGGAGGAAAAAATCCCACCCTGCTTTTAAGAGCTCCCTTTCCTCACCCTCCTCTGGGACCAGAGCAAGAAATCTGGGGGGGTCCCCCCTTCCCTTTGGTGCTGCTGCATCGCTGGGGTGGATGATGCAATGGGATCAAGGAGGAAAATCCCTGCCACGCGTTTTGGGGACCCCCAGGAGGGTGATTTGTCCCCACATGGGGACACACGGAGCTTGGCAGCTCCAAATGATTCCGGGGGCTGTTGGGACCCCGCTGGGCTGAGGCAGGGAAAGAAGAAGTGAGCGCGGAATTAGCAGATGGGGAGGAGTGCCTCGGGGTCCCCCGTCTGCTGAGGGGACACAGAGGTGTCACCTGGGTGACAAAAATGCTGGGTTTGCCCTGATCCCAGCCCAGCCACCAGCAGAGATTTGGGGGTTCTGCAGGTGGGGACCTCAGAGGGGCAGGATCAGACCCACGGCCAGGAGGGGAAATGCCTCCTTTGGGATGGATCCTCCTCCCAGCAGAGTGGGGAAATGGGGTCCCCATCCCTGTAGCCCCCCCTGGGGCTCCCCAGAGCAGCCCCCAGCACGGCCTTTTCCGGCCTTTCCGTTTGGATTTTTGGTTGTTTCCTAATTAAGGCAATTTGGGGGCTATGGAGCCGCCAAGCCCAGATCCAGCTGCTTTGAATTAATGAGGAATTGTAATTTGGGGGAGGTTTGGGGGGCGATTGCTCCTCGTCCCTCTCAGTACTGACCTGTCTGGTCATGGATAACGGCAAAGGAATGAGGCCAAATTGCCGTTTCCTCCCTGCTTTGGCCTCCAAAGGGCTCAGCTGCTGGGCTGGAGGGTTTTAATGATCCCAAACCAAATCCCACCAAAGAGCAGACCCAAATATAACCAAAATTAAGGAAAAAAAAAAGCCACCCAAAATAAAATCCTGCTCCATAAAGCATCGAGTTTGGGTTTTTCCCCCCTTTTTTCAAAGGCAACGCGACGCATTTCCAAGTGACCCATGGATTTTGGCATTGGAGACAAATAAATAAATAGCCAGAAAGAAGGAAAAGGCAGGAAGGAGCAGGATACAGGCACGTAGCTAAATAAACACAGCAGCACCGGGGGACAAAAGGAAAATATCGATATTTTTCTCCCACTCCTTCTTAAACTGACACCCCCCGAAAGATTTGGCGGCGCTGGGGAAGGCGGCAGCTGGGAAACAGCTGTACAATTCCTGGGATAATGGGGAGGGGGAGGAACTCAAAAGGATCATTAGTGAAGGGATGGGGGTATGGAAAGGACTCCCAGGAACCGGGGGAAGCACCCGTGGATCGGCGGCATCCCCCCGCCGCGGCCGGAGCAGGTAAGAACCGCGGCGGGGCCCTCCCGGGGCTCCCTGGCGGCTTTTCCCGGCACTTCTCGGGGTTCTTTTCTACCTGTTCCCCGAGGCGGCTGTGCCGGGTCCCACCGGTTCCCATTGCCCCCGCGGCTTTGCCTTTTGCTTCTTCTATTAAAGCAGGAGCGGGGGGATGATGTTAAAGCGAAAGTGGGAGCGAGTCCCGGAGCGGCCCCGACGGGCCCGGCTGGAGAGCGCAAAGCAGCGGCGGGAGCGGCCCGGGAACGAGCGCGGTCCTGCCCGAGCCTGGGAGCCCCGGGACAGCCGGGCCGGGGGGAACCGGCTGCTCCGGAGCTCCGGACACGGGTACCGGAGAGAGCCGCGGAACCGGGAGCGCCGCGGCCCGGTGCTGGGGAACGGGAGCGTTATTGCCCCGGAGCGAGCACCGGGGAGCCGCAGGGAACCGGAGCGCCGGAGCTGCGCACCGGGCACCGGGGAGCGCTGCCAGCCCCGCGGGCCGGCCTCCCGCAGGTCCCGGAGCCCGGGCTCTGTCCGTGCTGCTGCCGCCGGCCCGGTGGCTCCGGGAACCGGAGTCGGCGGCCGGGCGCGACTTCCCAGCCCCGTCCGGGGAGCGGGGCCGCTCTCCATCCCCGGGAACGGGGCTCGCCCTTCCCCACCCCGGGCCGCTCCCCGCCCTCGCTGGGTCTCTCCCGCCGCGTTTTCTCCCCTTTCCCCGCTGGTTCTGGAGAACGGGAACCAGCCCGGAGCCCCCGTCTCTGTCGCGACGCAGTCCCAGGCAGCACCGGCCCTTCCCTGCTCCGCTCCCGTCGGGGGACGCCCCGGCGGCCCCGACGGGGCCATATCGCGACATCGCCGCCTGGGAGAATCGCGGGGGACGCTGCCGGGGGTCAGGCCGGGGCTCCCGGCGCATCCCGAGGCCGCGGGCGGCGGACAGAGGCGGGGGGAGAGAAGCAGAAGGGGCCGGGAGGGGTCGGCGGCCCCGGCCCCCCATCCACCCGCCGCTCCCCGGTACCTGCAGCCCCGGCCGGGCACAGCGGCTTCCCGTGCACGGCCGCGGCGGGGGGACCCGGGCCGGCCGCCCCCGGGCACCGGAGCGGCGGGCAGCGGCCGGGCCGGGGGCTGAGCGGCGGCGGCCGCCGGTGCGGCCCCGGCGGGCCGAGGGCGAAGGCGGTGGGAGGCCGGGGCAGCCCCGGGGGACCCCCGGGCCGGCCAGGCGGGGGGAAGGCCGGGCAGCCCGGTGTGTCCATGGCGCAGGTTGCAGGGCACGGGCCGCGGGAGCGGATTTTGTGCGGGGCAGCGGGAGGAGGGGGACGGGCTGGGGGGCGATGGGGAGGGACGGGTCGGCCCGCAGCCCCCCCAGCCCCGCAGCCACTCGCGTGCGTCCTCCCAGCCCTCCTTAACCCTCGAATCCCAAATCCTGCCCGCCGGGGACACCTTCCTGCGTGGGCAGATCCCTTCAGCCTCAAGACCCTGCGCTGCCAGGGTCTCCCAGCTCCAGCAAACGCCCAGGGCTCCTCTTTCATTTCAAACTTCATCCCTCACTGCTGATAGCAGCGAGAAATACCAGGCAGGGCAGAAACTTCCATCTTCCTGGCACTCTCTGAGTTTCTTTTCCCCTTCACAAGCTCTGCAGAGCCCATTTGCCGCCTTCCCCTCCCCAAAGCTGGGGCTGAGGCCTGGGACAAGTTGCTCCAGGGATGATTGTGACCCTGGGACAAGGGATGCAGGGGGATGGGGACCCCAGGACGTGGGAGCCAGGATCCCACAGTGTCCCTGGAGCAGGCCAGGGGGTCCCAGCACCAGGGGGTCCCAGCACCAGGGGGTCCCAGCCTGCTCCCTGAGTGTCCCTGCTGATGCTTCCACCCCCCAGGATTTGGATCCCCTCATCCCAGCTTGACTCTGGCTTTGGCATCAGAGCTTGGACTTCTTTATTCCCCCCTTTTCCTGCCTTTTGCTCCTCTGCTCCCCAGGCCTGGAGGTTTGGCGTGGCTGGGGGAGGATACATCTTTGGGGGTGTTTGTGTGCAAAATGAGGGGAGAGATCTGGAATCCAATGGCTTGGAGAAGGAACTGAATAAAGAGCCTGGAGAACTAAGTGGAAATCTGGGCTGAGGGGTGAAGTTTTACCCCTCCATTTGCTGTTTTTCAACACTTTGAGTTTATTGTAGGGCACCAATCCTTGCTGCAGGTCTATGAAAAAAATAACCTGCAGGTGTGGAGGCTGCAGGGAGGGGATGAACTGCATGTGAGCAGCAAAAAGAGGTGGAGGGGAGCCCGGCAGATGCCAGATGTGTGATGCTAGAAGCGGAACAAGGACTATAAATAACATTGGTGCTCTCATTGCTGCTGCCGGGGCAGGACTTTGTTACCCAGGCACAGTGAAAATCTGGAATCACGAGAAAATCTCATTTTAAAGAGTTTGTGATATAAATGTCCCCTCTGTGTGTTGGCAGGGGTTGGGGATTGGTGCGTTGGTTGGTCATTGGAAAAGCTGTTGTTGCTGCAGGAGCGATGGATTCGTGCTGTAAACCACGGCTGCATTTTCCAGCCCTGCTCAGGGAAACTGAGTTTGTGAGAAATGCTGGGTTGTGATCCTGGACTCAAAATCTTTCTGTCAGAATCCTGTGAGGGGCTGGCTCTGCACAGAGGGGTCTGAGCATGCAATGCCCTCTCTTTAAACATTATTTTAACCTAAATATCAAACCAGGATCAAAACAACTTTTTTTTTTTTTTTTTTTTTTTTTTTTTTTTTTTGTCACTGCTGGATAAAATTTAAGTTTTTACACATTAATGTAGTGGCCTTTCGAGGATCTGCAGGAATAAATTAGTTTAAACTTCTTGGGCTGCTTTAAAAGAGGATCTGGCTCCTTCCTTGCAGGGTGGGCACCCTTTTATTGCCCGTGAGCTCCCTGGGCATCCCAAGCCTCCCCTGATACTTTCGCTTTGCAGCAGCTGGAGCTGCCAGGATTTTCCCTGTTCGACTGTCCACAGCTCACGGGGTGCTGTAAATTATGGCCAAACAGGGACTGGGAGGCCTCTGACTCACAACAGGTCAGGTCATTAAATATTATTAAACATAACATAACCCCTGGAAAGGCTTATTAATTTTTTAAGGTTGCTCTCCTGGTTTTACTGCTGGCATTTAAAGGAATTTAATGGCAGAGGGGTGAGTCCATCCACGT